TTATATATAAGGTAATTTAACTCTACTTTATATAACTTATATAAATAAAAGGCAATAAGGTATAGCTTTCTATTATTATTATATTATTTAATTTATCCTCTTAATATATAGTTTAAAGTATTAATTTTTAATTTAATCTCTTTATTAAGATTAAATATAATTAGTATTATTTTTTTTAATATAATATCTTATAGTTTCTTAAATACCTACTATATATCTTTTAGCTATATAAACTTCTAGTCTTTTTTTATAAGTTCTATTAGTAGGTTTATAATTCTACTAAAGTTCTTAATAAATCTTTAGTAGTAATTAGTAAAACTTAAGAAGCTTTATATTTTCTTAACTGAAGTAAGTAATAGCTAATCTTATACTATTAAAATCTTCTTTTAATTTATTTTAATTTTACTTAAGGTAATAATATATCCTAAGAAATCTACTTCTTTAATATAAAAGTAACTCTTCTTTAGTTTTATTAATAGTTTAGTATTTTAAAGTACTTTTAATACCTTATAAATATATTTTTTATATTCTCTTTTATTATTTAAGAAGATTAAGATATTATTAAAATAGTATATAATAAAGATATTAAGGTACTATTATAATATATAATTAATTATCTATTAGAATATTATAAGTATATTAATAAGACTAAAAGGTATAATTAAATATTTAAAAAGTCTAAATTTAATTCTAAATGCTATTTTCTATTTATTTCCTTTTTTAATCCTAATTAGGTTATAGGCTCCCTTAAGGTCTAAAGTAATAAAGATCTATTTCCCTTATAATTAGTCTTTTAGTTTTATAATAAGTAAAAATAGTATTTAATCTTTAATAGTAAGTATATTTAACTATTAATAGTTAATTACTAGTTATAATTTCCTATTTTTCTTAGGAATAAATATTATTAATGCTCCTACTAGAGATATTAACTATTTAATATATCCTTTTCTTAGTTTATTATTTAAGTATTCTCTTAATTCTATAAGTTCTTTTTTATTAAGTAAGTAAATCTTTTAAAATAGGATATTATTATTAGTAAAGTTAATTTTATAATTCTAATTATTATATTTAAGTATCTTTATATTAAGTTCCTCTTAAAATAGTTTATTTTATATTTAATATTTTATTAGTATATTTTATAGCTTATCTTTTATTTTTATTAGCTATATCTCCTTATATAGGTCTTATCTTATTAAGATACTTAAGATCTATTTTTATTATTTACTTATTATATACTTCTATTTTCTCCTTCTTAAAGGTATTAAAGACTTTACTTTATGCTATTTTATGCCTTTTCTATTAGTTATAGTTTAAGATCTCTTATAGTTTATTATTATTATTATCTTATTACTATTTAAGTTCCTTAAGGTAAGAATTTAGCTAGTTATTTAATTAATATTTAAATTTATACTTTTAAATTATAGCATTTTAAGTAGTATATTTATTATTCCTCCTAAGGGAATAATATTAAAGCTAATTCCTTAATTCTTTCTTAGGATTTTTACCTTAAGGTAATTAGCCTTTTAGTTTATAATCCTATTATTATAATTAAAGAGTTATCTTTCTATATTAATAATTAGGTAAAGCTCTTTTTTCTTTTACTATTAAATTCCTAGCTCTATAATTATTTTTAGATTAATAAAGTTATATTTTACTTTATAATCTATTTAAGTATTTAGCTATCTCCCTTTAATTTAAACTTATAGTATTAGGCAGTTAGGCTTACTATCTTATATAGCTTATAAAGCACTTTATAGTCTAAGCCCTACTTATTCTTATACTTTACTTATTTATAGCTCTATTATAGATAATACTTATCTTTTCCTAGTCTTATATACTAGTATTTATTAGGTATTTATAAGTTATTATAGATATTAATAAGGTAAAGTCTATCTGCTTTCTATATGCAGTCTAACTTATTTATATCTTTTAAGGGTTTATTATACCTCCTTTATATAAGTTCCTTAAACTCTTTATCTGCTTTTTTAAGGATCTATAAGTTCTTTTAAATATCTTCCTTAGTTTTTTATGCCTTCTTTTATTACTAATAGTAGGCTAAATTAAATTATAGTTTTACTACTTTAAGGTTTTTATACTATATATATATTAAGTACTTTATTATTTCTTTAGGTAAGTAGGGTTTATTATTAAGTATTTTTAATATTATTATAAGAAAATAATTATTATCCTTCTTTACTTTAAAGTGGATTTTATATTAATAGTATTTATATAATACCTATAAGATTTTATTATAGTTATTATTATTAAGAAGAGTTTTAGTATTATCCTTTATATTAAATTAGGATTCCTTATAAAATAGGTTTATAGCTTCTACTATATAGTATACTTAAATATAAAGATTATTTATAGTAGAAATATTATAGTATTCTCTTATATTTTATATATACCTTTCCTTAAGGCTTATAAATATTTATTAACTTTATTTATTATATAAGGGTTAATATAGTTTCTTTTAGTTATTTTTAATTTCTTTATTTTACTTATAAAGGTTTCTTATAGTAGCTCTAGCTGCTCCTTTTCTATATCCTATACTATAGGAGTATTATTATTATTTAATATATAGGTAATATACTATATCTTATTCTGCTAGTACTTATTTTTCCTTTTACTATATCTTTATTTATATAGGGATATTATCTATTACTTAATTACCTTATAAGCTTATTAGGGTTATTATTACTTTTAGTATTTATATATTTTTAATTTTTACTTTATTTCTTTTTTTCTATATTAGAATTTATTATCTTTCCCTTATTTCTAGTCTATTAAAGTAGGCTTATCTTTTCTTTTATTTTAGGGTTAATTTAATATTAATTTATTTTTAAATTTCTTTTAGGTTTTTAAAGTATTCTCTAGGTTTTTATATTAAACTTTTAATATAGTAATTTTTCTAATTAGCTTATTATATTTATTAAGTTAAGGCAGTTTTATTTACTATATTATAGCTATTTTAATATATCTTTAGTATTTAGGTTTATATTACTATTTAAGGTTCTTATATATTAATTATACTTAATATCTACTTACTTTAATTAGGGTTTTTTAGTTTCTTTAGTTATAAGTATTATTATACTATATATCCTATTTAGTTATAATTATAGTATTTATATTTACTGAGGTCCTTTTATTATTTTATTATCTAGATAGCTCCTAGGTCTATTAGTCTTAATTAGGTTCTATAGGAGGTATTCCTATTATTTTATTATTATAGTTAAAAGTTATAGTAGTTACTATAGTTATTATTTTAATATTAATTTAGGAAGTAGGGGTTAAAGTTATTTCCCTTTTATATAGTATTAGTCTTTTCTTATTTATATTTATACTATTATTTATTAATCTTAATAGCTATAGTAATATATTTAGTTAGGTTATTAAGTCTATTAGCCTTATAAAGTTTATCTTTAACTTCTTCTTTAAGGCTTTAATAGTAGATTTCTATAACTGCTTTATTATCCTATTTTATTTTAGCAGTAAGTTATTAAAACTTAATAGAGTAGGCAGTATAGGATTTCTATTACTTTAGCTATAAGATATTAACTATAGCTTATTATTTTTTATTAATAACTCTAAAGTTATCTTTAAGGAGTACTTTAAAGTTAAGCTAATTTATAAATATATTTTAAGTTTCTTAATTCTATAGATTATATTTATTTTCTAAGTAATCTTTCTATATAGGTTTAAATTAATCTTTAATATCTCTTTAAATTAATAATATAATAGTAAGTATTTTCTTTTTAATTAAATCTAATTTATTAAAGAATATATAAAAATAGCCTTTTATTTAAGTTAGAAATAATAGGATATCTATAAAATATCCTTTAAATAGTTTAAGTAATAGCAGCTTAAGGTATTTATTAAGGTTATAGTAGTTATTAATAGTTTTAATTACTAAAGGTATAATAGTAGATATTATATTAACTCTTACCTAAAGAGTCTATATCTTACCTTAAAGTAATTAAATTTTAGCTATTATTTCTATATTATTAAGTAATAGTCTTATATAAGGGGGTATTAATCTATTATTAGTAATATTAATAGATATCTTAATAGTATAATATTATTTAGTATTTATATAATATAGTTTAAATAAGAGCTATTAATATATAATAGTTAGGTTTTTAAATAAGTAAATTAATTTATATTAGTTTATATTTATAGAGTTATAAGGTATATAAACTAAATGGTAATAAAGTATTATATTTCTTAATAGTAAATAAAGTAAGTAAGGTATATTTAAGTAAAGAGGTTTTATTAATAGCTAGTAAGTTAAATATAATTAACTAATACTAAGGGGATATATATATACTAAAAGTTACTATAAAGGGAGTAATAATATATTAAGTTATTATTAATCCTAGAGCGATATAGTTTTAAAGCGCTATCGGTCTATATAAGTATTAGTCCTCTTATAATTAGGTAATCTTATAGGGAGATATAAGGATAAGATAGTGAAAATATAGGGTATATATAATATAACCGCTTAGGTTATAATATATAGCCTATATAATTAAGATATTAACTTTATTATTATCTTCTTTTAATTTCTATAGCTTAATTTATAACTTAAGCCTTACTTTTTCTTTTTTAAGATTATTACTTAAAGGGTTAAAAAGCGATTATAATATTAATAATAAGTTAAATCTAATAATACTAAAGGATAATTTTTAGCTCTAATACTATATAATAAGACTTATTAATAAAAAATTAAATAAAATATAAAAAGGGTAAATAAAAATAAACTATTAGCTAAAAAAAAAGTATTATTTTACCTTTAGTGCTAATAATCCTATAGAAAAATAAAAAAAAAGTTATTTATATAAGTTTAAATATATAATATAATAGAATTAATATTATTATATAAATAGTTACTATAGTAATTAGCTTATAATAGGGCTAAATTAAGTAATAAAGGGTCTATAAATACTATTAGCTAACTAGTTAATATTAAACTCTATTATAATAGTTATTAATAACTATTATCTTCTATAGTATAGTAATTAGTATATAAGCTTATTATACTTAAGATTTAAGTTTAATTCCTAGTAGGAGAGTTCTAGCTACCTACTATATATAGGATTTTTTTTTTTTAATTACCTTTAGAGAAATAAATAAAAGAAGTAGGCCTATATTTTATTTTTACTGTCGCTATTTTCCTATATAGATAATAATTAGTAGCTACTTTATATAATCCCTTTAAGTCTTATATAATAAAAAGAGTATAATGGCAATTGTATTAATATGTTAAGATAAGTTGAGACCAGTAATACTAAGCTATATTATTGATCTATCCTAGCTCCCTCTTGGTGGAGTTTCCTTTAGTAGCTTCTTCAAAAGCTTCACTGTTCCCTTGTGCTCATTCTGCTGAGCCACCATCAAGGGTGACAGTTGAGTCCTACCCTGAACATCAAGTTTGGCACCTTCATTTGACAGCATCTTTATAATACTTTCATGTCCAAGCGAAGCAGCATGCCATAATGCTGTGACCCTCTTCAGATCCCTCGAGTTGACGTTGGCGTCCTTCTCCAGGAGCAATTTCACAATGCTCTCAGACCCATCCATTGCCGCTAATGCCAACGGCGAGCGCCCATCAACATCCCGCACTTCGATATCAGCGCCTTCTTCCAGGAGCACCTCAACCACTTCCACATTTCCTTTCATTACCGCACATGCCAGCGGTGTTCGTTCGTCTTTATCTCGTGCTTCGATATCAGCGCCATTCTTCAAAAGCAGTTTTGTCGTTTCCAGGCGGCCATTGATAGCGGCAAGAGCCAGAGGTGTCTCTTGATTGTTGTTTCGTGATTCAATCTTCGCCCCCTTTGCGAGTAAGCGAGTCGTCGTCCTCTTACGTCCTTTTATGGCTGCTATCGCAAGAGGCGTATCACCACAGTCATTCTTCGATTCTGCATCAGCGCCTTTATCTAGAAGAAGACCAATGACACCTAAATCTCCACCTAATACAGCCGAAGCCAGCGCCGTATTCTTTAGAGAGTTTCGCGCCTCGATATCTGCTCCCTTCTTGAGTAGGAATGCCACTTTTTTCTTCCATCCGCCGCGGGCTGCACAGATAAGTGGCGTATTGTTCCGGAGGTTTCTCGTTTCCAATTGTGCGCCATGATTGAGAAGGATCTCGGTTATCTGCGTGTTGTTGGTTACGCAAAGTGCTGTGCAGCCGTTTTTGTCTTTGACCTTGATGTCGGATCCTTTCTCAAGAAGTATTTCTACAATGTCAGCTTTCTTATTCGCAGCAGCCCATACAAGGAGCGGTTGGTCCTTATTTTTCATGTCTTGCTCCACCTCCACGGGCCACAACAATGATGTTTCTGACACTCTTTCCAACCGTCTCTGAATGATCTTTTCAAACCAGTTCCCTGGACCATGTACGACGTCTTCTTTGACTAATAAAAATAGCGACTGGTTTGTTGGGCAGTTAGGGAAGTAAACGCTTTCACCATCCAAGATGCTCTGGGTCTTCAACCTGTCTCTTTTGAACTTTCTGTAGGATTCGGGGCGTCCCTGTATCTGAGCCTCTTCGGCAGCGATGCGATCCGTGAGGCTTTCTAGGTCCTTGAGAACTAGGCTCTTCCTATCAGCGAGTGCCTTCTCTTCTTCTTCTATCGCTCTCATCGTAGCCTCGACAGACTTTCGACGATCCTGCAAAGCTGCTAAGCTATCGAGAGCGGGACGTTCCGTCGAGCCTGTAAGATGTTCTTTTCTCAGCGCATCCATGAAGTCATATTTTAGTTTGGCCGTTATAATTGCTGGTACTTTGTCGCTGGCGGTGGGAACTGTATTCGTGCTTTCCAAGCTGACCAAATAAACCACCCCTTGTGGGACAGTTTCCTGTGTAAGCGTAACTGCGACCTCCGTCACTCCGTTGTCAGTTGTGTTTACCTCGAGACTCTTTGGATCCATAAACTCCAGACTTTTCTCAATATCCTCCATAGTAAGCTTTCGCAATGCTTGAATCACATAACTGCGCATAGGTGATTCACTGTTAGAAGAGTTCATTTTTATGCCCACTATTAGGTCATAGCTTTCCGGAACATCTGATGTGAATCGAAGAAGCTGGGTATTGGTAGAGGATTTGTCATCGTCTTTTTTGGTGAGTAGAGCACGACTTCTCTTCCACTCAAGTGGTGGATACGTTTCTGCCAACTTGAGTTCGAGCTTCTGATACCCTTCGACATGTAGCCAAGTACTTGTCTCTGCCGTTGGTAAAGGATGAACCTGTCGATCAATTTTGATTTGAAGGTTCTGGCTTGGATCCTCTACTGATGGTGTTTTGACAAGTATCGGTCGCTGATTCTGAGGTCTTATGTACTCGTTTGCAGAAGAAGCAGGATGCAGTGGGATAGCGATGACTTTGCTGTCATCATCTTCGGAGCAGCAGTTGAGCATAGCGTAAGATTTGTTGTTCTTATTATTCTTCAGCCTTAGGGAAGTATGAAGATAGCCACCCGATACTGTTAATGTGCTATTGTGGTTCGAGCGCTGTGCATGCGGTACTACATGTCCGCAACATGCAAAGTCTCTAGGAGATGAGGCAAATATTCCAGCTGAGATTGGATTGGACGCTTCGGGACTCTTTCCATTAGTATCAGTCTCGGTCCAACCCCAAGCAAGGATAGAGTCGTCTGTTGTTTGTTCCAGTATCTTGAGTTGCAGACGCTCAAACGCCTTTTCTTTTTCACCATAGATCATCGACATTGAGATGTTGAATATTCCAAGAAGACAGTAAGCGATGTCTTCTGTTCTTTTTGTTTCTCTCTTCGCCGCCCACGACATGCGTTGTGCCACGCTCGCCTGGTGAAAATCGGCCCAGCCGAGCAGATATTTTCGAGGAATACCTGTGGTATTACTGTTAAGCTTATATGAATTTTAGGTCGAATGATTCACCTTCCATACCTGTGATATCTTCGATCTCCCTTGATAGGTCTGCCTTAGTGCCAATAAAGTTCCATTCCTCGTTGTAGAAGCTTGCATCAACGGGAGCCAAAAGTTCCTGTAATGTCCAGCCTCTTTGAAACCAAGAACTTGAGTAAAATCTGGATGTTGGGTCCCAAATATCGTCGCCTTCAGGTACGTCGCTCATATAAGTGTAACAAACTGAGGCTCTGCGATACCATTGGAACATGGAATTGATAGCCTCGTCAAGCTCCTTTGAGCTTTCCTTGTTAATGCAACATGTGTCGATCCAAACGTAATCGAGTTTGTCTTTCTTGGCTTGCTTGCAACAGCCTTTCAGCTTTGCCATCCCGGCTTTCCGCGTCAGGCCATCTGTTATATCAGAGAAAGATACTTCTTCATTGTCAGCGCCCCATCTGTGGGAGAGGATAGCGTACGGGGGGATGGTAGGTTCAAAGAACTCCTGCATCTCCAACGTGTCCACATTTATGAGGCGCATGGTGTGGTAATATTTTGAATTGTGACTATTAAAACGATGATAAAGAATGTGTAAGAGCAGTTAAGTTACTCGGGTAGCTAACTCTGTCTTGGACCTGCGAAATAGACTGATGCGAGACTTCACCCATCGACGATGAGAGGGGTAAGATTTTTTTTATCATTTTCAGGCTGCTACCTGATCAAGACTCAGCCGCAGGGCGGCTATGCAAGATGTCTCGACCAATAGTCAGCACGGTATCAAAATGCTAGCCACATCTTTTATACAACCTTGCCAACAATGGAGGTTTTCTATGGACAATTTAACCCCCATAAAATGACATGAACAAGGAAGAAGTTTCTGATATTGGATACAAATAGGGCTGAACAAAAATTAGAATTTCATATAGGCCTGTCAACAACTAATCCCGCACATCTAAAATATCCATGTCATGGGATCAGCCGCTCCACCATTGAGGAACCCATCAGTAAGCTACAGATTATTAGTACTTTACACTCGCATGACAGGGATCTTACTCACCATTAAAATCCAGTCCTCTCCGAAATCAATTGGGTCACCCAGTGTCTGGAACTCCCCACCATCAGGCTCCAGCTGCGCCACCAGCGACTCAAACACACTCAAAGCCTCCTTCGCTGCCTCCTCTCCTGCCCGAATCATAGCCTCAGCTATACCCTCCTTTGGCACGCGATTCATTATGTCTTTAATCTGTGCCAAAACCAATGAAGTTATCAAGTGACCCTTGATGTTCGTCTCGCCTGCCCGGATGCACTGTAGCGTCCATGGTTTCGTGTCTTGCATCATGTTGAATACATCAGTCTGGACTGGTGTCGATGAAAAGGCGTCTTCTTCTTGTACTTGGTTCCTTAGATCGAGTAGGAGAATTGAACTTGCTAACCACGTTGACGTTCGGAAGAAGCCAGAGCTACAGACGATAAAACGCGTGAATTCAATATCATCATTCGCAGTACCACGTGCAATTGACCATGATCTGAAAGCGGTTTCAATGGCCATCTTCCTGGAGTAAGCATAACTCGGTTCTGTTAGAGATACCCCGAAGAACGGAAAATGAAGAGCGCCCAGATAGCGGCGCATGATAAAATCCATCGCGGACAGCTCGAACTGTGTTGGTGATATTTCGTTCTTCTTGGAGCTTTGGAGAGTGTGGATTGCCTCTTTGTATGAGGCCTTGAGTTCAGAGTCTAGGCGTAATGTTTCTTGGTACGAGTCTCCCTGTCGAAGATCGTTGAGCAGCTTCGCTACGCTCAGACGGGCCGGATATGTCTTTCGCATTGCTCTCGCGGTGAAAGTCTGGGTAAAGACATTGTCAGGCCTCGATGTGGGATTCTCGGCCATGATCTGCTCGTCATCAAAATTGCCGGGAGGTTCGGTATCAAAGTCGTCTGTTGATATCATTGGTGACCCTCCACACGTCATACTTGACTGTAAACACATCTCGAGTATAGTATTCCAGATTCTCCTTCGCATCTCGCAAACAAACGTCGGGGTTTGAGGAAGATGCGTTGGATCTCGGTGTAAGCCCATCGACATGGCTGTTCTTAGAAGCGAACCACATGCGATCCAAAGTGTTTCGCCTCCAACAGATAAATTTTCTCTGGCAAGAAGCCATAAAATGTTTGTTTGCAGGAATTG